CCCCCTTGTGGTCATAGTGTGTAACTAGTCTCCAAGAGCTTTGTGAATTAAGATGTCTAAATGAATCTAGCTAATGGTTCTTTGTTCCTATCATGCTTATCATGTGTCTTTGTGTCTTACATCATCTCTCTCTGCTGCAGCCTGGGAACAACAGAAGAAACAAGGTCTGTCTTCACATACCGTCCCATACTTTACACATGTGTGTTTTCACACGTTGTGCAGATTTGCTCATGCATAATTGGTATGTTTATTTAATTATTGAATAAATGGGAACTTTGTCTTTTATAGCAGCTTCCTTTAACAGTTCAGGAGCTTCAGGAGGAGCTGCGAGCTCATAGAGAGATGAACAGTCGCTCCCAGCAGCACCGTCAGCAGGGGAACTCCTATCGAGAGCTCCATATGGACCAGGACCTCAGAGGGGGACTCAGCCCTGGCCACAGTCCCAGACAAAGCCCCAGCAACCTGCAGAGTCCTGGACCAAAGAGCAGCCCCAGAGCCAGCCCATCCAACACCTACAATCCAAGGCAACAGGAAGCTGACATCATCATTCACAGCCCTGGATACGGCTGTAACACTGCAGTAGCCGCACAAAGAACCAGCCCAGCTGACACCCTTCAGCGTGGGCTGAGGAGCAGCCCGAATCCGCCTCTCTACAGTCCTAGCCACGGTCCCGGGATTGTACCCAGCTCTGGTTCTCTTCACCCTTGTAGTCCCTGTCAGGTGCCTGGGTGTGACGGCTTTTCCTCACCTCCTCCCCTGGCTCCATCAGAGGAGAACTTCTTCCAACTGCAGTCAGAGCACGAGCGGCAGGCCAAGGAGCTATCCCTGCTGAGGAAGACCATGGAAGAGATGGAGATGAGGATTGATTCTCAGAAGCAGACGCTGGGCGCCCGGGACGAGAGCATCCAGAGACTGTTAGAGATGCTTCAAGGCCAAAGCCAAGGCCAAAGCCAAGGTCAAGGTCAGGGACACTGGGGACGGGGACAGCGGACAGGCATAATAACCATGGCAGCTCAGGAGGCTGAAGCCCAGCTGGAGAACGTGCATTTGAGAGAGGTACACTTTTTCCTGCTGATATTTATACACATCTGAAGCTTCATCTGCACTGTCAGAGCAGTTTTAAGAGAAGGCTGAGCATCGTGCACTAATCAAGAAAATACAACTTAGTGTAGAACTCTCACAGGTTGAATTTCCTGAATCACCTTTTGATTTAACCGTCACTGAGTCAAATATCCCTCATTACCAAATAAAGATCGTTGGCAAGTTAAGCCACTGTATGATCATGTGCATATCATAAAACATTAACACAGCAGGTCATTTTCAATACCAAAACATTGTCTTGTTCTTGGGTTTTAAAAATATTTTCACTTTAAAGCTGATGCTGAACTATTTGTGTTGCTAATGTTAATTGATGAGATTACATACTTAGGTGTGCATGCATGCCTAATCTGTATACATTTGTGTCAGTTTCTATGTATTAAGCAAAATGTGGGAGCAGGAATCAGCTCAGCAGGTCTTATCAATGGGCCAGATTAACATACGGCAAGCTCTAAGCCTGCGTTGAGCCATGCAGTTTTATAATCTGTGTGTGTGTGTGTCCTCCTGAGTGTACTCATATGGTAGCTGAACAAACACCAGCATTTGATATTCATGGTTAATTCTGCAGCCCATGACTTGTTATGCCTTCAAATAAATACTGAACTAGATAAATCAGAATTGAGTTTAGCCTATGGAAAAACAAACTCTTCTTCAGGTGCTCGTCTCTTTTCCCCGATGTTTCTTTTCACAATTAGAGTTTTATTAAGTACCAGCCCTGCAGCCAGTGCTGGTGTAGCACAGGTGTATCAGTATGCTCTGCCATTAGGGGCAATACCAGGCTGCTCTGTGCTCCTCACTACTGCCTTATCTATTTTTAACTCCTAAATCTTCTTAGCCTTTAATTTCTCTACCTCTGTGTGTGTGTGTGTTTTATGTCGGTGCATGCTGGTGATATTGTTTGTATCATCATGTTCTTGTTTTTCTGTCTTTGTTTGTCTGCCTCTGCGTCCACTGTGCAAACTCAAAAACAAAATTGTGTGTGTGTGTGTGTGTGTCTGTGAATGAGCATGCGTACACATCTGGAGCCAATCGGCTTAGTGTTTCCAAGTGAGAACACTCCCTCTCTGGGTGGCTGATGGGATATCCGCCCATTTGGTCACTGTGGTGATTTTGTTTAAGGGGAATGTGGGTGTTTCAGTCCCTGCTAATGCAGACACTGCTGTGTATGTTTGGGTTGGTGTGTGTGTGTGTAATGTGTGGGACCTAACCATGCTGTGTGTGTAAGAGGTGAGTACCTGCTCACACACACTGCGTGCTGTGCTATTTTTAAGTACTTGACAGCTTAACATATGCTAGGAGGAGGAGGGGACATGTGTCGGGGAGAGAGGGGGAGAGAGGGGGAGAGAGGGGGAGAGGGTTTTTTTTTCAAAGTAGAAAAACATGCTGTGTTTGTCTGAATATTAATGTGTGATTAATGAGTGAAAACAGCCTGACCTCCCTGATTGAATAGAGAAGTGATTGTTCTCTCAGTTCCCCCCAAGTTCCCCAGTTTCTGGTCTCAATATATATATAGATATCTCTCTCTCTCTCTCTCTCTCTCTCTATATATATATATATATATATATAATAAATTATATAAAATTATATCATTATACAAATTATACAAATTATATTCAAGAAAATAATTTAGGAAGAAAAGTGGAAACCTTTTCCTGTTGTTTAGTGTCGCTATTATCGACTCATTAAGATCTCCATCTAAACATGTTAAACATGTAATCACTGCATTTACAAAATACTTTGATCTGTTTGTGTAAAACAAAAGTAATTGATTGTTACAGTATCATCAAGCCTAGTTTGCAGACACAATGGATACAGTCAAACTTATAGATAAATCTCTCTCTCTCTCCTCGTATTATTTGGTCAAGTGTGCAAACGTCTTTATCAAATATAAAATAATTTAAAATGCAGCAAAACACACATAAAACTAAAAAAACATTCAATAAATAGCCCCCTTCTGTATATTCTTACTGGTCAGACTAAAGGCCTTTAAAATCACTGTATGTTGCACATTTTGACAGTGAATTGGTGTGAATGGCTGCATTAAGGACACCTGAGTTTGAAATAATATTTTTAACACACACAACATTTGCACGAATGTTACACCTCCGGTGGGTAAAATCGCTGAGACAGACTTGTGCCTCCGTTTTTCTGCTTTGCGGGATCTTCTGCTGCGTGCCGCCTCTCTTTCATCCACATCTTTGGAAAAGAAGCCAACAAGCCAACCTGTGTCTTACAGCATTGTGCAGCATATGTCCCAAAGCAGGCTTTAACTTGTGATTCATCCAGTGGAGGTTAGGTTATGAATAATGTGCTTATGTAGCTTCAGTGCATGACCACCACAGGGAATTTAAATGTGCTTAGATATGTTTGATTACTCTTTTGTTATATAGATGTGATTTTGTGTTGCTCAAATAAACATACATTTCCAGAAAAACAAAAACAAACTTCATGTGGATGACAGCGCGTGGCACTTTTATTATTATTGAACATTTGTAGTTTTACAGGTGTCCAAGTTACCAGATCATTCACTCCCTCACTATCATGGCGCTGCCTTTGAACTGCCAGGATGTGGTTTCTCTTAGTTCCAAAACAAATGTAAAATTTTGTTTTGGCAGACTGGAGGACAGTTTTCAGTCTCCAGTTTCTTCCCCAGCCTGTGTAGAGATTTCTATTACATACTGCCAGTCAGCAACATTTTGTGGTTTGCCTCAAACATTAATCAGATAATCAGATTCTCTCAGTCTTTTAATGATGTAATACCAGGTTCCTTTGCAGTTTTATGTTGAGAAACATCCTTCAGTAAATAAACACTCAGCCTCTCTGGATGTTCTTTGTAGATCCAAACATGTTACCGACCTGTTGCCATTTAACCAAACTAAATGTGAAATGTTCCACCACATATTTGTTGTCTGTAACATGTCATAACTTTCCCAATAACCCCCAAGCTTTGATCTTTTCATGTTTCTCTCAGCTGCTCCCTTTAGGCTCCTCACAGTTTCAACATTTTTCTTTAAACTGTGTTTCAGTGCAGCTCGTTTATCACCACTGCCCTAAACGTTTGTAGTTTAATGCATTTGTCACTTTGTGGCTGGTGATGAATTAAAATGTTTAGAGGTTGGTTTATCCAATAGTAGCCTACTTCCTGTGAAGGCATCTTGTAATTTTTGCTTTCCGTTGCAAAGGCGAGTCGGTGATGCTCAGCTGTGCCTCTATGTGGGACCGCTGCTGTTAGCTGTTTGATTAGCTCCAAAGGAAACTAGCCCGACTTCCTTTCATTACCGCTCCCATTACTCCTCATCTAAATCTCAGCTTGTTTACACTGAGATCATAAATGCCCCTTTTTTCAGTTTGCCTCTCATTTTAATTTACTTATTTTGCTGGCATGAAGTGGCCGTCTTAACTCTGTGTTTTATCGAAGGAAAGCTGGAGACATTAAAGTGTGTTTGTATGATGAAAGTCAGAGGACTGACGGATGTTTCTCTGCATACCATCCAGGACAGACGACGGCCATATGTTAAATCGCTTGAACCAGCTGTTTGTGCTCATGTGTGGATTTGCAGTGTGTATGGAGAGCGCCCTCCATCACTCCTTCACCTGCTGATGTATGTTGTCAGGGGGATTGTGTGCACAGTGGTGTTCTCTCACTTGTGTTTCCTGTTCAACTTTGTCACTGATCCGAATACCTTAATTGCACAAATCCAGCATAGAAACACTGGCACGTGTTTCTCAGCCTATTCATAGCACTCATACACTGATCTCGACTAAAA